CCCCTAATATACGCCTCAAATACTAGAATTCCCTTTTCATAAGGGCCCCAATAAGGTACCCCCTACTTTCGGAAACCCTAAACCCTAAACCCTAAACCCTAAACCCTAAACCCTAAACCCTAAACCCTAAACCCTAAACCCTAAACCCTATAAGCACTGAACCTTTTAGGTTCGAGCTCGACCTGTACCACCCCGTCGGGGGGCTGGCCACCGGGTCCAGCGGGCTGTTCCTCTGGAGCCGCAGGCTGGTTTTCTTTTGCGGGCTTAGGAGGGGTTCGGGTTTAGGGTTTAGGGTTTAGGGTTTGGGGTTTAGGGTTTGTGGTTTAGGGTTTAGGGTTTAGGGTTTAGGGTTTAGGGTTTAGGGTTTAGGGTTTAGGGCTACTTCGAGGTTCAGGGGTAGTTATAGGTGGGGTTACAAGTAGGGAAACTCTGATTACAGCTGTTTATCGCCTTTAGTTAGGGTACTTGTAACCCTACATATCACTAACCATGGACCTCCAAGTAGGGGTTTAGGGTTTGGGGTTTGGGGCTTAGGGTTTGGGGTTTAGGTTTCAGTGGGGGGAGGGGGGGCTCAGCGGGTTTGGGCCTGTGGGCCTTTTGGGTTCTGAGTAGAGTCTGAGGGGACACTTTTGCTGGCCATGCAGTAATGAACCACGCCCAGCATGGCAACATGTTGTCGGCCCCAAGCCCCTTAAACTGGACCCTAAACCCTAAACCCTAAACCCTAAAACTGGAATTTCCGTCCAACCCTCAAAGCCTCCACTCACCCTCTCCCAACTTAAAGCCCTCATCTCACCTCCCGGTCTCCCGAGCCCTGGCCCGCATACATCCTGACACCCTCAACACCCCTCAACCCTCAACCCTAAACTTAACACCTAAACCCTAAACCCCAAACCCCAATCTTGAACCCCTCATGAAACATCTTGGCCCAGTGGGCGCCTCACGAGAGAGCTCCAAGATTCGCGACGCGGTACCAGTCTGAGTGGCGGAAAGTGAGTCAAAGCCTCTGTGGTGCTTTACTGTAACTTTACATCCTTAGCCTTTTTGGGTATATTGGGTTTCTTAATAAGGTAGCTAAAGATTTATTTTTTAGCTACCCTGCTAAGTGCAGCCAAGAAGCCCGCAAAATAGAAGGCTATACTTTGAGGTTCATGGGTAGTTACAAGTGGGGTAACCCTATGGAGGGGACCTATAACCCTACATAATGGCTGAGGGCCTAAGGGTCACGGGGCTTTTCTTGAGGAGCTCTTTAATAAACTGTTTGTGGTGTATCAAGTGGCCGACTCGTTGTTGAGTTTCAGGTGTTTAGGCCTTTTGGATTCAAGGGTATGGATGCTTAGGGTGCGGGGCGCTCAGGAGGTGTGCATTTCGGGTTCAGTTGTTTCTCCTTCTTCGCTGGAGTGGTCGCTATGAGCGTGCCTCCGAGCCTCAGAGCCTAAATCCGAGTTCTTGAATCCGTGCACCTTTCCAAACTCATAGTTCCAGAAGTATCCCTAAACCCTAAACCCTAAACCCTAAACCCTAAACCCTAAACCCCCAAATGCCCACTTGCCTGAACTCAGGGGTGGCCAGCATCCAAGAAGTGGAGGTCTGCGGAGCTGTCAACGCAGAGTACCTGGACGAGGTGGGCTCCAGGAGATAAACGCGGAGGGTTTAGGGTTTAGGGTTTAGGGTTTAGGGTTTAGGGTTTAGGGGTTAGTGTTTAGGGTTTAGGGTTTAGGGTTTAGTGTTTAGGGTTTAGGGTAAGCTGTCGGGTTTACCTACGTGCCCTCCGAAAGCCCTGAACTGGTTTCTTGCGAACTCCATTTGCAGAAGAGAGCCCTGTAGCTCGGGCTGGCGGTGCCGAAAGACAGGGTTTAGGGTTTAGGGGTTAGGGTTTAGGGTTTAGGGTTTAGGGTTTAGTCTTAATTCTTATTTTTATTATTTCTATCAGTAGTATCATTATTGCTATTACCATTATTACTAATATTATTACTATTATCGTTCTTCTTATTTGTAGTTTTAAGAATTGACCAAATGGCTTGTTTTGATACCAAGTGGCCCTAGAAACTCAAGCGGAGCCATCAGCCGCTGAAGGCCCAGGGATTCGCCAAATCCTCTAAAGTAGAAAATCAACCCCTCAATCCTCGGAAATCCGAAAGCCCTAAAAACCCTAAACCCTAAACCAAAAGCCCTAAAAAACCCTGCTGGGAGTCGACCAGAACAATAACCGTTGAGAACCTTATTCAGGGCACTTGCATGCTTACTTCTAACTACCCATGAACCTCACGGAAGGCCAAAGCCCAGGGAGCCTCGAAGGGCGACAGATGCCCTAAACCCCATTCCCTAAACCCTAAACCCTAAACCCTAAACCCTGAACCCTGAACCCTGAACCCTGAACCCTGAACCCTGAACCCTGAACCCTGAACCCTGAACCCTGAACCCTGCTGCGAGGCCTTGTCGGCTGGCGTGGAGCTGGGTGTGACAGGCTTCCAGAGGCCACTTTCTGGGAGTGCTTGGCTTACTGCTTAGGGTTTAGGGTTTAGGGTTTAGGGTTTAGGGTTTAGGGTTTAGGGTTTAGGGTTTAGGGTTTAGGGTTTAGGGTTTAGGGTTTAGGGTTTAGGGTGTGCTTGGCTTCCTGTTGGTGAGTAGGGAATGGGGGAATGAGGTACCCTGTACAATCCCATAAAGGGTTTAGGGTTTAGGGTTTAGGGTTTAGGGTATATATGTAGGGCCCTAATTCCCTCGTTCCCTGCTAACCACCAGCAAGCTGGGGGGCTTGGTGGCTTTCTGTTTTTTTGGGCTTTGGGGGGGGGGGGGGGGGGGGTTGGGATGTTCCCAGTTATACCAATAGTCCGATTATAGTACCCCCTTCTTTTAATCCCTATTAGGAACATCCCAAGTTTGTGTGGGAGTTGGGGCCCTAAACCCGAAACCCTAAACACAGAAACCAAGGGTGGCCCCTGGCATTGCAGGGTCAGAGCTTGGCAAATCCTAGCTGAACCCGAACACTGAATCCAAAGGTTTTGAGATAGCTTCTGAACCAGGAGGTCCTTTCAGCGGCTTCCTGAACAAAAAGGGTGCCCTCTAAACAGGGCCTTGGGTTGAAACCCAAAACCCTAAACCCTAAACCCGTTTTGGATCGATTTCTTCCGACATCATGTCTCCTGTGGAGAGATCTTGGTTCCTAGGTGAGTCCTTGCGATATTAGGGGAGGGTCCCGAAAATAGGTGACCCCGAATATAGACCCCCAATGCCGAATAGCAGGACCCCCTCATAATAAGGGTACCTCTAATATCGTAGACCCCCTTAATCTGGGGGCTTCCGAAACCAGTGGAGGGGTCCCTTCAAGGGATTCTATTCTATTTGGGGTTTAGAAGGTTTTGGGAAATACCCGCATCTTGTATGTTCCCCTTTTCTTGGGAGCTTGCATGCCTGTTCGTTTTTTTTTTTTTTTTTCTGTTTTTTTTGTGTTTTTTGAGGGTTTAGCTTTTTGTTTTTCCATTCGGAGGGTTGGGACGGCTATCGCTTCGCTGTTTGCATTGCCTGACAGCGTTGCGGGGTTGATCAGAAGCGGTGGCTGATGACTACTGCTTTCTACTGCTTTGCTTTGGAGATATTTACGGTGTGGTCTTTGAGAAGGGCATGAAGGTTCTTTGTCTTGCGTAATCAACCCACTTTTGAGCCCAAACCTCTCATGCCGACTCGCATCTCAGCCAGCCGCAAACGCTTGTGCAGGACGTACACTGCTAGCGTCTTGGAGGCTTCGACCCATTCTCTGTGCTGCCTGCCTGCCTGCCTGCCTCAAAACATGTGTCTCAATCCGAAAGGCAAAGTGCAATCGTTAGCAGACGTCTCCATGCAAGGCGCAACTTCTTCGGGACTCATCCCTACAAGAGCCACGGTCACGTCTCCAGTTTCAACCCCGCTTTTGGCTGCGACTGCTGGTGATTGAGCGAGTGAGAGTCAACATGTGTGCGTAGGCATCGCTGCACGTATGTGCGCCTAGGTCCCGTGTCACGATAATGACAAGGGACGGCAGGCCTCGCCATTTTAAAAGCATTGCTATGAGGAGCTGCTGTGAGTTTCCATCTGCCAGCAGCACTCCGTGATCATTATTCCCTAAACCCTAAACCCCCGAAACCCTAAACCCTATGATCTGGACGACTAGCAGGACAAGTGAGTTTCCCTGGAGTCCGTATGACCATGTACATTCCATTGCCAGCCTTAAGAACTCCCTGTGCTAGGTCGCAGGTGCCGGGCATGGTAGAGAAGTGCGGCTACAAGGTTGCCACAGCCTTACTGGAGATTGCTTAAAAGGCCTTGTCTCTGTCATGATGTCGATTCCAAGGTGAGCCAGAAGCGGACCCAGGCTGGAGATAGTTTTGGTGCTGAAAGCATGCCTCAGAGAGATTTGCTGCGGGCAGTGACACCATGAACTTGATCCCCGTCAGCCGATGATGCCGCACGCGCAGCGAACGCCCTGCTGCGTTTGTTGCTCCAAGTCATGCGACCGCAGGTGGGTGGTGTGTCTCTTGGCGACCTTGAGGCCCAGCTTTGTTGAAGGTTGATGGGCACGTAAAATTTGGGGTCCGAAGTACCCTAAACAAGGTCATAACCAGTTATAAACTTCAATATACTTACCTTACCCATAAACCCAATTACAACTGCCCATAAAACTCCAAGTATATCGAACGCCTCGTAAATCGGCCGCAGTTGCCTGCGATTGCCTGGGGCACCGGACGCAGCCACCACGACACCCCTCAGAGGTCGGTCAGCTGCAGGCAGCCACCGAGGATGAAGAGGCCCGGGCCCCTAAACTGCTGTTGCGGCTGTTGGGTTTAGGATTTAGGGTTTAGGGTTTAGGGTTTAGGGTTTTTAGAACTATAAAGCCGGAAACCATTGTACTCCTCAAGCCTGGAAGGCCCTCAACACCCTGAGTCCTGCGAAGCGTCATGCCTACGAATCGTTGCCCCAGGTACTGAAACACCCCCCCCCCCCCTTCCGGTGCTAAGTACCTCTAAACTTGGCTCGGCGTGGTGCTAGATAGGCCCCTTGGGATATTTCATGTCTTCCCTTTTTGGGTTTAAGAGGCTGATGTTCAGGAATATTTTTCGGGGGGGGGGGGGGGGGGGGGGCTCTAAGGGCCTTCCTAGTCTACACTGACCTGTTTCGTGCTCGTGATTTTTTTCTGGAATCTGTGGCGGAAAAACCCTACCCTAAACCCTAAACCCACCCCAAACCCTAAACCCTAAACCCTAAACCCTAAACCCTAAACCCTAAACCCTAAACCCTAAACCCTAAACCCTAAACCCTAAACCCTAAACCCTAAACCCTAAACCCTAAACCCTAAACCCTAAACCGTGCTGGATGCTGAAGTGCACCACACCACGGCCTGAAGCGATCCCTGAGCCCTACACCCTGAACCCTGAACCTTAGGGATACTTGGGAGTTTTTTTTTTGTGTTGTTGGGTGCTATAATTCCTAAGAAACAGCTAGAATTGCAATTTTTGCTTGGGTTCCAAGTCCAGAATCGAAACCCTAAAACCCTGAACCCTAAACAGTAAACCCTGCACCCAAAAAACCCTAAACCCCAAACCCTAAACCCTGAACCCTAAACCCGAAACCCTGAACCCTGCAACCCCAACCCAAAACCCTAAACCCTGAACACTAAACCCCAAACCCTAAACCCTTAACCCTAAACCCCCCCTGAACTCTAAACCCAGACCCTAGACCCTAAACCCTATTCACAAGAATTCAGTCCTACCTAGCTTGTCTCCAAGGAGCTTCTTCGAGACAGTCCGCAAGACCGGACGCACAAACTCAATACCCTAAACCCTAAACCTCAAGCCCTAAACCCTAAACCCTAAACCCTGAACCCTAAACCCTAAACCCTAAACCCTAAACCCTAAACCCTCCAGGTCTGGGCCTGCCAGCTGGCAGGCGGGGCCCTTGAGCTTTCGTCGCTGCTTCGGCCGTTCACAGTAGGGATGCTCACGGAAAGGAATCGCGCTTATAACATGCATATGTATATGTATTTGTGTATATGTATATGTATATGTATATGTATTTGTCTATATGTATATGTATTTGTCTGTATGTATATGTACATATACAAGTATAATTCTACATCAAAGCACCCACACATATAAACATAGTGTTTTATCTAGTATAGTATAAGATAGTCTCATCTTATATACTATGATATATTATCATATAATATTTAATATAGTCTAATATGGTATAATATAGTTTAATATAGTATAATATAGTATAATAGTATAGTATAGTATAGTATAGTATAGTATAGTATAGTATAGTATAATACCGTACAATATAGTATAATATCGTATAATATCGTATAATATCGTATAATATCGTATAATATCGTATAATATCGTATAATATCGTATAATATCGTATAATATCGTATAATATCGTATAATATCGTATAATATCGTATAATATAGTATAATATAGTATAATATAATATATTTAAGATAACATAATATAATACAACTTAGTATGATATAACATCATACAAGATAATGTGATATACCAGAGTGTGTATATATAAAGAAATAATTTATCTTTTCCTATCTGTCTTTGCACTATGTTACTATAGGTTGTACAAAGATTTGTTTTGCTGAACATACTCTGCGTTCTATGTTCTGCATTATATACTTTGTTGATACTTCACATGCGGCTTTGTCAAGTGAATAATTTGAAAGGCCCGGGTCCCCCTAGTTCGTGAAGTGTCCGTTTTTTGAGGGGAGAAAGGATATGTGCTGTACTTGTTCTATGTAGGTTTTGTTGGAAGTATGGAGGCGTTTCTTTTGTGAAGGGATCCCTCCGTACCTCCGCCTGAACCCTGTTCAGTAGACCCCTCGAGACTCTTTAGTCCAGGCGTGCAGGCCTGTGAACTGAAGATCAACTTGCTATAGTTCTTAAGGGAGGGGGGTTCATGCGGGGCAGGTACCTAGGGAGCTTGAGGGCTCAGGGAGCCTTAGCGAGTAGGAAGTATTAGGGAATCTTGGGTTGCATCCCCCCCGCCCCCCCTTGGAACCCCTCTTGCTTCAGAACCCTATAAACTTCAGAGAGATGCAGACTTGAGAGAGCGCCCGCGTGAGCAGCGCAAGCTTGTTGCACCAATCACCTGCTGTAGAGCGTGGACTCGACTCTGCTTCCATCGCTGAGCAGGCCTGCCGGCATCGGAGTATCCTGAGACTTCTCGGCCACCCGAAGCCGAAGACAAGGCCAACGGGGAAGAATTGCCCAGGGGTCCGGAGTTCGGTGCGCCAGGGCCAGTGGAAACCCAATTTTGGTTTCGGAGCCTGCTGAACAGAGGCATATTTTAAAAGGGCAAGGTTTACCAACAAACAGCTGGAAGCCCATCCTGACGACCCGCCCATTTGCAGTAACGTGCAGGACGTGCGTGCACCGCGCGAGGGACAGAGAAGAAGGGGCAGGAGGCCTCGAAGGCAGAAGCCTGCCGAACGGAAGTCCGGGCGTGCAGCGTGAGAAAATTCCGGCAGCTGCAAATCCGGGGTTGTTCTGAGTTGGGGGTCCTTGTTGTGCGGGAGGGGTGGGGGGGTGGGGAGGGTCCTTTGTTAGCAAGAGATTAATTCTGTCATGAAGAGGTACCTCTATATCAGGGCCCTGATAGCTGGTTTGAAACCCTCAACCCTAAAGCCCAAACCCCAAACCCCAAACCCCAAACCCCAAACCCCAAACCCTAAACCCCAAACCCCAAACCCCAAACCCCAAACCCCAAACCCCAAACCCTAAACCGCCTGTCGGCTCAAACCTGCAGCCACCATGCATGCTTACTAGGCTTTGCAGAAGCACCCTGAGGGCCCGACGCTGAGTTGGTCCATCTGCACCGCAGGTTGCTCTTAAATGCACTTGGGGTTTAGGGTTTAGGGTTTAGGGTTTAGGGTTTAGGGTTTAGGGTTCAGGGTTTAGGGTTTAGGGTTTAGGGTTTAGGGTTTAGGGGTCAGTTTCCAAATTCTGGTCCCCTTTTGGGTACCCTAGATATTAGGGGCCGCCTTCCAATAGGAACCACAAGAGGGACCATCATGTTGAGAAGTGACCATGTGTGCAAACGTGCGCTTTCTCAGGCTGCGGGGTTTAGGGTTTAGGGTTTAGGGTTTAGGGTTTAGGGTTTAGGGTTTAGGGATGCATCTGCTGACGCCAGGAAGCCTTACCTAAGTACCAAGAAGGGTCATCTAGAACAACAGAACGGAATGCTTGTTTTGCCATTGGCCCGTTTCAGTTCGACTCTCCGTCTATTGTCTGACTTTTTTCTGGAAATCATCTCATATCTCTCGATTGTTTCCTCTCTCACATTCTTTGGTTTCGCCAGCTCACCGGCTCCCAAAGTTTGAACAACTCAACCTGCTGGAAACCCCCAAACTTACGATTCACATGTTCGTCTCTACTTCGGCTCCGGCTCTGGCTCATGTGCAACTCTCATTTCCGTCTATGACGTCAGCGCCTCGCGAACGTGATTGCAATGCCCGAGCTTTTGCTACAGTAATTGAGTAGAGAATGTGTTTCAGAACACATTCGGACGCAGGCGCCGACGACAGGAAAGCGGCTGACACCAGATCATTGAGCTGCTACGACTGTCACGTCGACACGAGCAATCCACACGACTCCCCACATCAATATCTGCCTTGACTTTAATTCATGTACATGCCAGGATGCAGAACAACTTCTGAAGAGATCGGTGATTGAACGACCGCGACAATGACTACGTACCACTGCGACTTCTCACACCTTATTGCGGCTACCGAGCTGGAAGAACTTGACGGGAACGATGTTGGAGGACATAAAAAGAGTGCTGTGAGAACAGCGTAAAAAGCCGCCCCCACCCGCTCTCTATCCGAACAGCCGAAATTGCAAAGTTCTCTCAAGCTTCAAGCCCGCATGACATGAGTTTTTTCTCACAAAGCAAACCACAACATGTCCCCACAGATTCCTGGGGCCTCCTTCCGCGGCTCCGTTACGTGATCGTCAATATTTTCTCGCTCTTCACGACTGTCGACAAATTGGTCGTGGAATGCTTCGCCATAAGCACGCGGCGAGTTATACTGTTATAACATGAGTACTTATGGTAGACTGTCCACTGAACATGGAGCTCTCAGGTGCTTTGACATCGTGGTCAATGTTGATGCTGGTGGACTGACATTATCATTATCTGTGTGGCTCAGCAGCACCTTCTTCGCTGTATGTGCTATCAGGCATCGAGGTCGGACATTAAGGTTTCCCGAACACGAGGTCACAATTGCTGCCATGTCTCTGAGTGGCAACGAAACCGTCGGCCGTTCAGACACATCGCTTGGCAGAGTCGGATTTCTGCATGTGCGTTGTCACATTGTCATACGGCGGTATGGCAGGCCAAAACCCCTACTATTTGCTTAAGAACCCCCCAAAAATTAGAAAAACTAATAATAATCCTTATATTTTCCCTCGTAAGGAAGAGTATTTTGAATGTGTTGGGGGGGTATCTTAAGCAAGTAGTAGGCCCTAAACCCTAAACCCTAAACCCTGAACCCTCAACCCTCAACCCTCAACCGCCAAAGACCTTCGGTTGGCCTCAGCCCAAGGATCGAACAATGAAACCAGCGGTATCAGCGCTTCTGGTGCAGCAGTCGCCGGGCGCATGGTCATAGGAGGGTTTAGGGTTTAGGGTTTAAAGTTTAAAGGGTTTAGGGTTTAGGGTTTAGGGTTTATAGCTCACAGAGATCACAGAGCTCACATGCGTGTACGGTTTTTCTTCGAGTTTTGTGACAGCTGCCCAACAGAAGCCAGACAAGCCCTGAACATGACATCAGCAACAGGAGAAGTGTCTAGACGTTAAGGGGTTTCTTCGTCCCATTCTGACGCTGCCATCATCGATTCTGGGCTTGGGTTTAGGCCACCAAAGAAGAACTCAAGGACTCCAGAGAAGTGGGCACCAAGACGTGAAAGCACATGACCAGTTCCCTGATTGGTTGGCACTTGCTGGGTGTTCAAATCGTCCCCGAAGGGGGAGAAGTCAAACGCCCCCAGATTTCAGCCTAGCCTCACACACCGACAAAGGGGTTTATAAAAAAGGGTGCCTCTAATTTAGTCCCCCAAGTAGTAGGGGGACCCTAAACCCTAAACCCTAAACCCTAAACCCGAAAGGACCCCAACAGGTTACCACGCACATCGCAAAACCCTAAACCCGAAAGGACCCCAACAGGTTACCACGCACATCGCAACCCCGCCCCCCCCCCCCCCCCCCCCCCCTCCCCCACAAGACACCAGGCTCTTCCTGGCCGTCACTGCCGAGGCCGCTGAGTATCCCTAAACCCTAAACCCTAAACCCTAAACCCTAAACCCTAAACCCTAAACCCTAAACCCTAAACCCTAAACCCTAAACCCTAAACCCTAAACCCTAAACCCTAAACCCTAAACCCTAAACCCTAAACCCTAAACCCTAAACCTAACCCCTAAACCCTAAACCCTAAACCCCAAACCCTTGGGCTTCGGATTCAAGACTCCCGTGGTTTAGGGGCCCCTGGACCCTCGGGAGCCGAAGGAGTCTTCAACCTTGCTCCTAAACCCTAAACCCTAAACCCTAAACCCTAAACCCTAAACCCCTTCGCTAAATGTCACTGAACTCAGAGAAGCCGAAGCTGCAGTTTGTCCGGATGTCCTGGGCATTGGGCCCCTCCCCCACCCCCCCCATGAGGATGCTTGTGCCTCGAGCGAGACCACGTCCCTCATGCAGACGGGTTGGCATCTCGGCTGCAAGTGGGCCCTAAACCCGAAACCCGAAACCCGAAACCCTAAACCCTAAACCCTAAACCCTCAGCTGGGCCGTGTGAGGGCTCAGGGGGTGTTGGATTCAGGTGGCCTCCGCGGTGTCCTCCCGTGAGCTGTCCCCACGGACCCAGACTAGGCCCTTATTTCCTTTTTTGAGGGCTTAGGGTTTAGGGCTTAGGGTTTAGGGCTTAGGGTTTAGGGTTTAGGGTTTAAGGTTTAGGTTCCCTTACCCATTTAAACCAAAACGGGCACCCTTTTCTATTCCAAGGTTACTCCTGGGTCTAGGTGCTGCAGCACATTGCGCATCATTAGACCACACGGCTGTGCGGCGGATGGCTCGCACGGCAACCGCCATGCGTGCAGCAGCTCTTTATTTCCAGGTCCGCGTCCTTCTCCCGAACCTCACACTGCCACATGCTGCTCACATGCTTCATGTCTTCGCAAGCTGCGAGGTGGAATGGTCTTGGTCTGGAGGCAGCGGGCTAGCCGGGAACCCTAAAACCCGTAAACTTTAGGGATGTTCCCCCCTTATACTAACAGTCCCTACTGTAACCCCTATTAAGGACTCGTAGTATAAGGGAGAACATCCCAACCCTAAACCCTAAACCCGAAACCCAAGAACCCTAAACCCCAAACCCTAAACCCCAAACCCCAAAACCCTAAACCCGAAGCCCTTGTCTGATGGAGGGTTCAGGACTTATGGCTTAGGCGCCAAGCCTCGGAGCTTGTCGAGTCATCCGAAAGGGTGGCTTGAAACCAGCAGCCCACGGTTTAGGGTTTAGGGCTTAGGGCTTAGGGCTTAGGGCTGAGGGTTTAGGGCTCAAAAAACGAAAGTTTTGCTTGTGCCCTTTAGGTAGACGTTCTTGTTTCAAATCTGTCGGGTACATTTGGTCCCCCGCAAGAAAGGTACCTAGAAGGGGACCGTAGTCAATCTACGTTGGGGTGCCGAGCACAAACTACGGTCATCAAAGAAGGACATCTGTCTCTGGGTGCGCTTGCTGCAAAGTAAAACTCTTCAACCGTCATAAGCTCTTTGCTGTACCGACCCTGTACGCCTCTAATCCCTGCAAACCCCAGCTAACCCCAAAAAGCAAAAAGTACTAGGCAGTCTGGGCAGCCCCTACTTGAACGTTCATGGGTAGTTATAAGTAAGGTTTTTCAGCCCCTATAAATAAGGTTGTACTCTAGTTAACATACTTATAGCCCTACTTATGACCACCCATGAACCTCCAAGTAACCAGCGTCGACACCCCTGAAGGGAGCAGCCAATGCCCGGCAGCGGCTTGGCAACGTGTTGGGGAACGGATCTGCGGGCTTGTGTATTATGGGGGTTTCCGAAATTAGGGATACCATATGGAAGCCTTTGTTCAGGGAATCCTACTATTTGGGGTATACAGCAGGGTCCCTGATCTTCGTAAACCCCCATGTGGCCCGCCAGGCCTTGAAGGAAAGCATCCGAAAACCTGAGCGGCATGAATCCTTCAAAGTCCGAAACCCTAAACCCTAACAACTAAACCCTAAACCCTCTTGGCAAGTTTTTTTGTCCTGATAGCATTGTGACTATTGACTATTGTAACTGCCATGCTTTTTTTGCACTGCAACTCGGCCAGCCCCGCAACTAACATCTAGCATCCCCCCCGCCTAAGTCCAAGCTCCAAACCTCAAAATGGTTTTAGGGTCTTAGGGTTTAGGGTTTGGGGTTTAGGGTTTAGGGTTTAGGGCTT